GAAGCCCAAGGGCAAGCCCTTCTGAGCACAGGCATAGGCACTGCCAGCCAATTGCCCTGAGGCTGGCTGACCCAGACGCCATCAAACAGCTATGAGCCAAGGGAGGGTCTGCAGCACTCAGGCCCAGACTGAATCTGGTTACACCCTCTGGTCCCACAGAGCACCCGCTCAGGCCACGCAGGTGCACGGGCTGGCCTCCGTCCCTCCCCTGCAGGCCTCATGGCAGGCAGCCTTCTCTAGGGCCCTTTGTTGCAGAAAGCACAGCAGCGTTGGAGGAACGTGCAGTGTGCGGTTAGTAATCTAAGCCCGGCACCCAGCAGAGGGGGGGAGGGGGCCGCAGGCGCTGCCTCTTGGAGGGGACTTCACAGGAATGTGCGCTGAGGGCCTCAGCACAACAAAGGGGAAATTCTTCCTCTCTGCACTTGTGCTAGGATGACTGTATCAGGTTAACGCCCGGGCCTACCTGCTGAAAAAGAAAAATCACAGCGCTGAGTGTTAATAGTGCACGGCACAGGCGTCCGGGCCTCCCTGGACCCGGCAAGCCCACTGCGCGGATGGCACGGAGTGAGCAGTCGCTGGAAAGGCACTTTGGGCGCTTCGGGCGTTCAAGATAGAGGCTGTAACTGGCTTGGTGGTTCCCTCTCTCTGAGCAGGCTGCTCAAGGCCAGCTCCCCCCTCAGGAGAGGGATCTGTGCCGGCAGCGCGGAGCGCGGCTGGTGCCGGCAGAGGGATTCTTGCCAGGCCCTGCTGACGGCACGTCAGGAGCCAAGCTGACGGAGTGTCGGAGCTGGCTTCCCCTGACGCCCTCCTGGGTTTGTCCCTGCCACCATAAAACTCAAATGGGAACTTGAACAAACAGATCAAACAATACTCTCTCTCCTCAAGCACTAGAGCACTCTTTCAAGAGGGCTTGGGCCTGGGACTCCTGCACGCATGAGTCCCAGTGCGAGTTTCTCAGCGTGGGCGTGCCCTGCGGCGTGGCTCCTCCAGCGCCTGCCTCGCCTTTACCTCCAGCCAGTGTTCTGTCCCCTGCTCAGCAGCTTCCCAACAGGCCGCACGCGGCACGCATGTCAGTTGCCTGCGCTCACCTCGTCCCTACTAAGGCATCTCCAGCGCTTCTCTGTTACTATGCGGTAACCTATGCAAAACAGAACCCGTATAATCGACGCCTCGGAGATTAGAGTAATATGATGCACTATATAATAATGCAAACTAAATAATAACTATTCAACATCCTCCTCAGTTGCTCAGAGATGTTTTTTAAAAATGTGCGAGAGTGTTACAATTATTAGATAATTTAAATAAATCTAAGTATAACATTCTGAATTCAGAAAAAGAATTGTTAAAATGTAAACCATTTCAATTTTTACCCTACAATTAAAAACAATGAGTAATATTGAAGCCCATTTTAAGGGATAATCTTTTCCAGATCCTGAAAACCACTTTCCCTTTAGTTGTGTTTACTTACTGATCTGTGAGAGGTAGTGAATTCAAAAGAAAACAGGAGACAGCGGCAACTGCAGACCTCTGGGGGGGCCGGGTCCTCTTCTTCATTTCAAGGGTCAGCCAAGTGTTTCTACTCAACTAGTTTTGTTCTGTTTTGTTTTCCAATCTATTAATTTCTAAAAAGCAATTCACATTTCCCCCAACAGGCTAATTTTCCAAGGTAGGGAACACATTTAATTCTCATAAAGAATTTGATTTCAGCAGCTCACTATTATGATTATTAACCATTTCACGAGTTCATGTTTAGTGAGCTCGGCTCCATGACGTGGGCTCATTCATAGTTCAGGAAGGCGCTGTGTGTCTACGTGGGAGACGTATAAGGAGCAGCTAGAGCCACAACAGCACCTTGGTCTTTACTTGGTGTGAGACTGTGATTTCAATGCATGATGCATTTGTTTCCAAAAACTGTATTTTCATACACTTGTTTCCTTGTGGGTGGTGGTTTAAGACCACCCAGAATCTGAGGATGACTGGTACGGTTCAGGATAAAGCAAATAGGTGTAAGAGCCGCCTTTAGTCTATGTGACTCAATTTTAATCAGATTCTTCCTGTACACATCTCCCTAGAAGGCAACAGAACTGAGGTATTTGGGAGAATGAAGCCAGCCTGTTTACTGACAGGAAAAGCTTTTCTTGAGGCGGTTTTCTAAGCAACATTTTAAATGTTCACATGAACAAACAAAGAAGGTTAGAAGAGACACTAGAGGACCTGGGTTCTAGTTTCTCAATCTATTGAAATCTCTACTTTTTCCTTGTTGACAAAATGACATAATTTGCCTCTCACAAGGAGGGTTAAGATGGTCGTTATTATCACGTCAGTCGATCAACATGTTTGATAAAACTGTATCATATTATTGAAAGTATTTCAGAAGCTTTTATTTCTAGGTAATTTCCTTAGACCTAGAAACATTTTTTTGTTTTGTTTTTGCGTAAACGTATTGGATATGTCACCAGTGCCAAATTTGTGGTAAGTTAGTGAAGGCGAATGCGTGAAATTAAGGTTTTACTCACTTCCAGTAATGTTCAGTTGTCTGATGCCCCCTCCCTCCCTGAGATCCAGGCCCTTTGTGATAAGGGCAAGTCTGAAGCTCCACTGTGCTGAGAACATTTGCCCCATGAAGACCGTGACTATTCCAGGGAGAGCGCTGTAAGAGAAATCTCATACCCAACTATTTCTAAATGTTAATAGTTTAATGGAAACTTCACATTCAAAGACTAAACTGGCAGATAAAGAATGGCACTAACCATTAATTATCTTTGTTCTTTGGAAAAAGGGATGAAGAATCCTAAAATCTTTACCTAAAAATGTATTAAAAGAGCACAACACAGAAGAGACGAGCTTTAAATGTTTGGATGAGGTTGAAAATCAGCAAAAGAATGGTTAATTCATTGTGATTGCTACGGGTTACATTCGCATCTTTGCAAATATTGGGAGACTGTGAGTTGTTAACTCTCACAGTACATGGGTACATGGATGTTTGAGTACTGTTGAATGAATTTCTTGTCAGTATGTTATTAAATTCATGTATGCTATTAGTAAAAGCTATGCACTATGATTTTTACAATTACAATTTAGCAGGTTTAATTTGTGAGGTATTGTTTTTACAGCTTGTTTTCTGTTTCTGTTTTAGGAAGCCTAAAGGACTTGCTTCTTTCCGCAGTAGAAGCGTGTGTCTGGAGCCCAAAGAACACTCCTCCGCTAGGCTTATAGACTAAGCACAGTCTGCACCGAGCACAGCTTCCGGGGGAAAACAATAAATCTGAACCAAACTGATGGCATTTTAAGCCTTTCAGCCAGTTGCTTTTGTGCCAGGGCAGCTGTAAGTTGAAACCTTGGTGAATAAGAAGAAGACTCCAGGCAGACTCATGGCACTTTGTGTCTTTCGTATACTAGAACCTTCTCTGCTACAAGAGTGACTTCAAAGACTGAGGGGTTGAATTTGCAGCCTACAAGATTGCAGACCTCTAACAAGAAACAGAAATGCATCCGTGCCTATTTTCACGGTGAATGTGGTTTTGTGAGACTGAAGACCCAGGGTATAAACTTTCATTTTCCTTCCAGAAAAGTTTCATATAGCCTATGAAATGTCAGATTCACGACCTTAGTTTTTATGTGGAATGGGTTTGAAAGTGAGTGTTTCCATTTGAGAAGGTCACTTTTTCATCATCTAAACCGATTAGCTTAGGTGGTTAGAATTGACTTCACACTGCCTGCCTAAACCTTGGGTTTGTTAGATGAAGTTAACTGACCTAAGGGAGCAATCGGAGGGGAGCAGCTCCTTTCCAAAAGCCTCTCTTCTGCCCTCAGTCTCCGTCTCATGAACACCTGTGGTGCTGGCAGCGAGACAGGCCTGGCGTAGGGAACCTTCTCAGGAAAGGGAGTCCCGTCGCCCTGAGTTAAAAACCACTCGATGCACATATCGTAGAGACTTGTATGCAAAGGTTAGCATGTTTGTGTGAAAGCTAGTTAATATAGAAACACTTGTTACAAACTGTCCCTGTACCTGAGCTCAGAAGAGCCAGAATTTCTTTTATAGAAAAGGGGTATTTATGAACACAATGATCTTTTATTTGCGTTGCATCTTATGCTAAAGGCTTTAGAAATCACAGCATGTCAGATCCCCTACTAATGAAGTAGCCTTCAGTGAGAATACGCTACATGTTAGAACCAGGAGAAAACACACAATTTGGGGACAGGGGGTGTGAGGTGAACAGCCTGTCACTGCCATGGTCAAACCACCATGATATCTGAATTGTTCCCTCCAATCTTGTATGATTAGTTAGCACATGATCTCCTATCTTTTAGCCAATAATGTTGGATTTAGGAGAACGGTGCTACTTCTGTTAAGGTGCTCCGTCACCTACCACCTTGGTAATTTACGCACTAGAATGGTCTCTAGGGCTAAGAAATTAACCCAGTTCAGTCATGAAGGAGGCAATGGCTCATTTGCTCTTAATCTTCATGCCCTGGGGAGGACTTAATTGAGCAGGATTTTTTTTTCTCCTGCTTGAACCTACATGATCAGATCTGGCCCTTGTCTTTTAACTGCTTACCGTTAGCTCTGTCACCTTTATATTAATGCTTAAACAAGAAACAGACTTTTGAACATCAGTATGTTAGAGTGCTCTAAGATATTTTGTTCTGGAATTGACCTGCTCAAATTAATGTCATTTACCTAACATTTAAACTGAATACTGAAATTAACTGATATTTCCTAGGACGTTTTTATTTTCTCACTTACTACTCCATGGTTTTCTCTCTTTGCAAGACATTAGAATGCTTGGATGAGCCTCTTCCTTGTGGCCTTTTCTCTATTCATGGTTTTAAGTTCCAGTGTGTGGATACTAGCTTGCCTGTGCCTGGTACTTCTCATGACCTTGGTTCCCTTACCTGAAATAGGACATTAGTGTGTCTGGTGGCAACCCACAGTCCTTCATCTGTCTAGGCCATAATTGAATGACTTTTTTTTTTTTTGCATTAAATGTCCTAAGCTTTGGTAGTCACCAATCAGAGAATTGCCTTAACACTCATTAAAATATTTAGGATTTGCCACAAGACAGCTATGAAAAATACAAGTATGAGTTCCTCTAGTGGCCCACTGTAATCACATATGTGCCATTCAACTGATCACTTCTTTATGACAGGAGGGATGATCAAAGTGGCCATGTTTGTACCTGAATAACTTTCAATGTAGAGCCTGATTAACTTCAAAGAAACACTTTGGCTGGAGAGAAGGCCAATTGGATGGAATAACTTTGCCCAAAGTCTAAAATCACTTTGATCAGTAGAGAAAAATCCGACCCAGGGTTGAAAAATTGATTTCATTTGATACTGCATTCGAAAACTCCTGGGTTATTTGTATCAAGAACTGAAGCATTTTACGCCACCTATCTAGAAACAAAGCAACAGTTGTTAATTTACATTCTTTGTACAATATTTGAGGCAAAAAAATTCAATTTGCATTCAATTTATTGGAATATCCACAACACTCAATAAACTCAGCTGCCAGAGTGCTCGATGTCAGGCAATCTCTTCGTGGTAATCGCATTGCGCAGTGGGCATTTAAAATAATCACTGGGCTTTCACGCTGAAGAAGCTCGTTGAACAATGAGACAAGGTTCAGAGAACAACAAGTAAAGTCGATGGTTTCTAATGTGAATGAAATATTTTTAAAATAGATTTTTCTACTTTAATAAGTGTCGTTTTGTTATTAAAAAAAAAAGGGAAAGGAAAAAATCCATCATTACTTTAAGATAGCTTGAATCATTATAGATTATCAATACTATTGCATACTGAATTTATAAATTTATAATTACATTATCTTAACTAATGAATGCTTTTATGTTTTTTTGTGAATAAAATTGTACCTGTGTATTCTATTAATGTCAGTAAGAAAAATGACTGATTTGGATGCAATATGTTTTTGTACTGCCAGAAGCCACGTGCAGTGAGGTGCGTACAAAGTCTGCTCCTTGGGTAGAACCTCTCGGCCCCTCAGGCTTTCCGAGGAGATTTGAAACCTTTGTCCTAGTGCCTAGTCATGTTCTCAGGCTCGTGAGCACTGAAAGTCCCCCGACAGGCCCTGGAGATGCTTCGGTACCAAGATTTTACTATGAGGTCTTCATTTTCCCCTTCATTTACGACACAGAGAGACGAAACAAGAAAAAGTAGTTTTCAATTATTCTTGCGAGGGTCGTGGGTTTCTCCCCAGGGGAGAAGTTTTAAGAGGAGCTAAACTTCTAGAAAAAAACTTTTTTGAAGTTAATGACACCAGCTCGCAACGGGTGGGTCTCTGCGTTAAATGACCCTGGATTCTAGAGGAAGCACAGTACTTTTCCCCTCCCCCCACACACCCTGCCCACGCCCTGTGCCCCCAGTTCACGTAGGACTTCCTGTGTCCGTGGGCCCGGTTGACTACCTGTGTACCGTAAAACCCATCAACTCTCGTCTAAAAGACGGCTCAAAGCGATGAGGTTCTCACAGGGTCTGGAGCTGTCTGCAGTATATCAACAGATTTTATATTTTCATTATATTGTATGTGGCTATATTTTCATTATAACCACTATTAAGATACCTATTCAATGCTACTTATTCTGAATTCGTCCATTTAACCTGAGAAGTACTGTCTGACTTCTAAAAACAAATTTGGCACCAATGAGGTATGTGAATACAGCTTAAATTTATCATTCAGTCATTCTGAAACTAAACAGGCCTAAAATTCCAAAATCTATATCAAACACGTTCAATAAAACCTGGTATGGATTATGACACGCAATTATGCGAATCAAGGGACAGTTTGCGTAGCATTAGCTATGTCACATTCAGCCAAAGGTTTCTGCTGCCGAGATGGAGCCGGCCAGTCGGGTCATTCCATAACACCGAGTGCATCTGATTGGTGTGATTTATGGCTCTTCAATTACCTCTCTAGAAGACTGAATTTTCAAAATGTATTAGCAAAACCACTTTCTAGAACTATGGTGGTCTCTGAAGCAGTTTCACTTTTAGTCTGTAAAGACAGAGATTGTTTTTCCCTTAATTCTAGTGGCATTAGCTGTTCCTACTTCCAGAGGGAATCTCGTGTTCTGCTAGTTTTTGTAGGGTGGAATTCAACTAGCAGAACTATGCAGAGGGATTTCTTACCTGGTTGATTATACAGTAAATAGAAGATCTACAGAACACTCTGCTGGCAATCTTTTAATAGCAGGTTACAAGAGCGCGTGCCCCCAGAGATCACACCTCCTGTAGATCAGATAGGAATCTTGCCCTCAAAGTGCCTCTCAGAAGACTCACGCTAGCAGAAGGCCATTTCCTATGTCTGCCCTTAATTTATTCATTCAACGGGCATTTTTAGGCGTGTGGAGTGGCTGCTGGGTTCTAGCTGCACTGCCAGGGCTGCAGCAGGGGCTAAGAAATACAAGGGAGACAAGCTTTTTAAGTACTTACAAAATAGGTCTTAATTGTAAAAGATGCAAGTGCAGGTTCTTTGTGGGACAATCAGGGAGGAAGCTGGGAGGGAAACATGTTCTGAGCTCGGCTCCCATGGCGTTCGCCTGGCAGGTAGAGGGAAGGGGGGAGCTAGAGCTGCAGGTGGAGGAGAAAGTTTTCCCTGGAAAAGATTTTTTGATGCAACATTAAGAAACACAAACCCTAAAGGAGAAGATGGACAAACTTGGCGACATTCGGGTTTACAAGTCGTCTATTCCAACAGTCACCATGTCTCAACTGAGAAGACAAACCACACAGAGGGAAGAAGATATTTGCAAGCACATAACTAATAAAAAATTGGTATTATTATTGATGAGAAAAAGAAAAACATAAACTGTTGAGATGGTGGATAGGAGCTCTCAAGAAAAAAGTAGGGTAAAGGGTTGGGGCTTGACAGAAACCACAAATTTTAAAAAACAATCTCTGAAGCAACTGAGGAGGACTGTTGCATAGTTATTATTTAGTTGCATTATTATATAGTTGCATATATTATCTAATCTGAGGCTTGACTATACAGGTGTCTGTTTTCCATAGGTTTACCGCATAGTAACAGAGAACGTAGGAGATGCTTAGTAGGGACGATGGTGAGGGCGCAGGCAACTGACACTGTGCCGCGTGGCGGCCTGTTGGGAAGCTGCTGAGCAGGGGACAGGAGACACTGGCTGGAGGGTAAGGCGAGGCAGGCGGCTTGGGAGGAGCCCCACGCCCCGCAGAGGCCCACGCCCACAGCTGAGAACTCGCCACTGGGACTCCATGCGTGCAGGAGTCGCAGGCCAAGCCCTCTTGGAAAGACGTGCTCTAGTGCTTGCAGGAGAGCAGAGGTATTGGTTTGATCTGTTTGTTCAAGGTTTCATTTGAGTTTTATGGTGGCAGGACAACCCGGGCAGGGCGTCCAGGGGAAGCCAGCTCCGACACTCGTCAGCTTGGCTCCTGACGTGCCGTCAGCAGGGCCTGGGCAAGAATCCCTCTGCCCGGCACCAGCCTCGCTCGGGCCTGCCGGCACCCAGATCCCTCTCCTGGAGGGGGGAGCTGGCCTTGGAGCAGCCTGCTCAGAGAGAGGGAACCACCAAGCCAGTTACAGCCTCTACCTTGGAAACGGCCCGAAGTGCCCAAGGGTGCCTTTCCCAGCGACTGCTCACTCCGGTGCCCCCAGTCCGCGCAGTGGGGCTGCCGGGTCCAGGGAGGCCAGGACGCCCTGTGGCCCGGTGCAACCTATTAACCTCAGCGCTGTGATTTTTCTTTTCAGCAGGTAGGCCGGGTGATTAACCTGATACCAGTCATCCTAGCACAAGGTGCAGAGAGGAAGAATTTCCCCTTTGTTGTGGCTTGAGGGCCCTCAGCGCACATTCCTGTGAAGTCCCTCCAAGAGGCAGGCCGCCTGCGCCCCCTCCCCGCCCGCCCTCTGCCTGGGTGCCGGGGCTTAGATTACTACCCGCAGCACCCTGCACATTCCTCTCAACGCTGCCTGTGCTTTCTGCAAACAAAGGGCCCTCAGAGAAGGCTGCCTGCCATGAGGCCTGCAGGGGGAGGGACGGGAGGCCAGGCCCGTGCACCTGCGTGGGCCTGAGCGGTGCTCTGTGGGGACCAGAGGAGTGTAACCCAGATTCAGTCTGGGCCTGAGTGCTGACAGACCCTCCTTGGCCTCATAGCTGTTTTGATGGCGTCCTGGGGTCAGGGCCAGCCTCAGGGCATGTGGTTGGGGCAGGTGCCTATGGCCTGTGCTCAGAAGGGCTTGCCCTTGGGCTTGTACCTGGTTTGCTGTCACCCTCTTGCAATGCTTCCTGATTTTTAAAACAAGAGATCCATATTTTCATTGAAAATTATTGGGGCCCACAAACCATGCAATGGGTCCTGCATGGAAACAGGGGCTGGCTAGGCAGCGGGTGGGCAGCACTGTCATGTGAGTGGTAAGAGCAGGAGATGACCAGATCGGGGATGTGGAAGGGCACCGAAATAGGTGCACAGAGTCTCCTCTGGGGGTGGCGCTGGCATTTGGCTCACTCACACCAAACCTGAAGGGCCACCCCTCTGCCATGTGCAGAACATCATCTCCCCTTCTCACCTTCTCCTCAACCCTGCACCAACCAGCTCGATTCTCAATTCAAACTTCTCATCATGTTCACTGGGACACAAGTTCTAGAAGGGTGCTGGACAAACTGTCCATGTGAGTGTGGTCATACCCCATCCCAGGGGACAGGAATGGGCCCCACTCCCTCGGTGTTCACTGAGTTTAAAGCATCTCAGATCACTGTAGCCTGAAGATGAGAATGAAACCTCCTTCAGAATGCCTGTCATGACCCAGTCAGAGGACACCAAATGCTTTCCTAAGAATAGCAAATGTACCCAGCCGTGGTGTTAAGCGGGCAGAGAGCCCCTCCAGACTTAAGAAGCCCATGGCATTGGTAATGTGCTGGGCCTGAGGTCCAGGGTCTCTCGGGGGTGTCTAACTGGTTACTT